TTATAATTAAAGGACCTAAAAGAAGCTATAAGGTAAGGTAAGACCTTAATAATTAATTAGGCTACCTTTCTAGCTGCCTTTTTAGGCCTAAATTTAGCTGGCTATAAAGAGTGGCTATAGAATGTAATTATTAAAGCTAAATATATACTTAGCTTTCTCCTGCTTATATAAAGGTTAAGGATAAATATAGGGTAATAGTAGGGTTTAAAGGTTTAAAGGAATTAGGTTAACTTTTATATAAGTTAGTTAGCGAAAGTTAAATTAACCTGAAGTTAATAATAACTCTATTAATTAAATGCATATGCTTAGGTATATGACTAATTGACCTTATGTCTGAGAACAGTTAAAGTGATATTAATAAAGAAGCAGTAATTTAAATTGGGGTTAATTAAATTATAACTATAATAAAGTTATAAATTAATTAAGAATTAAATTATATAGAAAAGTTAATATTTAATTTATAAAGAAAACTACTTTATATATTTTAATAATAATATATATATAAAGTGTATTTATAAGAGTTAAATAAGCTAATAATACATTACAGATTACTAATGCCAAAGCCTTGCTTTTCATTATGCCTATACATTGGGGTAGAGGCTGCTTACAGGAATATGCATTTAAAGTTCAGTACCTTGCCGTTATGGCGCGCTAATGATGCAATCTGGCATTCTCATTTTGTTTAATTAAGATGTGCAATCAATGCAGCACAGGCCTGCATAAAATCCCAACCACTAAATCCACCCCTCATTACTCACACAGTGCCAACATGAGTACCTTGACTCCAGGTAACGCATCTCAGTCTACCAAATACCTCTCTCAATGCCAAGGCACGCACACTCCCGTCCCCCCCCACAATCTCCATGTTCCGCCAGACACGTCTGCACAGCCCTCATCGCAACCCCAGCCTCAGGACCCTAAGCTAGCCCCGCCGAATTGTAAAGGCTCCCAAGACGCGACAACGTGCCAACCTCAGCCTCCCAGTTTAACGTGAAGTGGTAAGGCGACCAGACTGGCTTGCCCCCAACCTGCACACTGGACTCCCACCAGACTTCTACTTAAGCATTAAGTCAACTTGCGCAACGTCTAGCAAGCTTCTGGCGCCTGCCGCCGAGATTTTCTGAGCATCTAACTCAGCATCTTCTATCGCCCTCCTTCATAACTGACCGTCGCCACCGCAGGAGCCGTAGTTGGGCACGATATCCGAGACTAGTAACCCGTCAACCCGCTCCGGCGATAACGATAACGATAACAACTTGGTGGCGCTTTTTGATACGCGTCTGGAAAAAGTAAGGTTTTATTAATATTAATTAATAAATTCTCTATTAAAGTAACTTATTAAATTAAGAAGATTATAATAAGCACTGCAGATTAAGGATATAAAGAATTTTAGACACTCTATTTAAGTAACTCGTTTCCAAAGTGAATGACATCATTACTTGGAGGTTTTGTCTCTGTATCTTAGATTCTGACCTGGACCACCTGGCCACCGGATACATTATTGTTGTTCATTCCAGCTGTGACAACAAAAACACTCTTGCCATCTCTGCTTAGGGTCACACTAGTAGGTCCAGCAAGAAGTCCCGCGGAGAGGACTGTAGCTTCGCCGTCAAGTGTGATCTTAATCAGCTTGTCTTGCCAAATGCCAACATATACATTGCCATTCCGATCAATAGTAAAGTCATCAGGTATGGAGGGAGATCCTTTCTCAACCCTGTAGATAATCTCAACGTCTCCGACCTTTTTTCCAAGCTTATCAATCTTCAACCGGCCAAAGGTCTGGCGATCAGTATTAGTGAAATACAGGTGGTTTTTAAAGATCTTAATGCCGTTGACTCCAAGACCATAGGGGCCATCGACACCGGGGGTAAACTCCTTATCCTGAATAGCCACTCTGATTTTGCCAGTAGTTGTATCTATGCGCAAAATCTCTCCTCGTACAGAGTCAGCACCAAGGATGATATGCTTGTGATAGGGAAGTGCCACGATGCCATTAACAGGGCCATATTTGGACTCCTCAAAAACGGTATCAACAGACAGCTGGCCATAGTTGAACTTGAGTAGCGAAAGCTTCATGCTGTTGTTTTGGAATTGTTGTCCGGTGTCATTACCTGCAGCCAGAGCAAAGACATCGTCGCCGATCTCGGTAATGCCAAACAGACTATTGACGCCCTCAATCTGAGCAATCATCTCCGGTCTAGGAGGGCTTTTATATGGATTAACTGAGTAGAGTTTGCCTTCCCCCATTGTGCTAAGTAACAGGTCACCATTGGATCGAGAAGCAACATTCTCTATCCGGACGCCGGGAATCTCGACAATTTCCCGGACCTTTGGCTGGGAAGGAAAACATGAAGAAAGGGTGCCCGCAAGGAGGAGAGCAGGGAGAATGGATGCAGGTACGTAGTGCATGGTGCTGGATGGAAGTTGAAGAAAGATCGAGTTGCGATGATATCCAATACACGACTTTTAGATACAAACAAGCGACCCTCATCATATCATAGACGGCACAAAGCTGACGTATGGTTTCTCGGATGCTTTGATTTATCAGCGGATTACTAATGCTGTGATCCTGCTATTGTCCCGGACGCTGACATCCATATTCCATGCTCCACGGAGCCCGAGATGGATCCCCATCCCTGCCGGAACACCCTTATCAAAGTTCAGATATACCACTCTCCTCTCATACTAGAGCCTGGCTGGCTGGTAGTTAGACATATTGACGATTTTGTCCAGCTCTTGCCTTATCGGAACGTATAGGATGGACCATCGCCAATGCGGATACCCAAGCTCCGTTGGCTTTATTGAAAAAGTTTAAGATAGTTGTCATGGCTTCACCATTGTTACTAGATAAATGTCTACTAGCTGTAGGGTTTTTATTTCAATGATTCTACACTTGAGAACCGTACCATCGATGCGTTGCTTTTAGAAGTGGATCAGAAACCCGCACTTTTGCATATCAGATCGAAAGACGCACGAAAGGTGTCAGTACTGTTTCTAATAGGGTTGCTTTCAATGGCCTTGGTCCCTGATTCATTTCTTATGGCGGATGGGAATCCCAAAGCCGGGAAGATCTGGGTTGGTTATGGATCTCAAATGAGCCAGATTCCGATCTAACCACTATACAATAGTTCAAGTCCAATGGACCTCGTTTAGAAGTTTGGTGTCTGGACTCAATCTCACTACTGCTACTGTCTAATAGAAGACAAAATAGTGTAAAATGGCTACGAATTTAAAGTAGTACAGCCCCCATAGGGAAAGTCTCTAGATAAAATTACAACTATATTAGCTCATATTGGATTTCATGCTACACAACAGGTATGGTGTTAAATCTGCCTTGTCCCGCAGCCAGTCACGCTGGTTGACGCATAAGAGTGATTTAGACCAATCAAGTAGTCAAGAGAAATTGGTAGACATGTTACATAAACGCATGTTTTGGCAACGCCCAATCAAATCACTGTTATCCAGAGTTGGTGTTTGGGCCTCAATTTGCTGTCGCGACTATATATACCTCGCTCGTCCCCCTCTTCAAGTCGCCATCAGTATGAGTTCCGGCTCCAAGAGTCTATCTCCCATAAACTTGTTTCTTGCTTCACTCAATGTCTGCCACTCAGAGAATTCCGGCCAGGAAGCTTCCGAACAGCGAATGGTAGAGATATAAAGATGATATTTATGCCTTATACATAGAGGAAGACAAAACCCTCAAAGAGCTTCTTCAAATCTTGCCTCAAAGATACGGGTTTTGCCCCACGTGAGTACTCAGGCAATTGTTTCTGTCATGGACCTAGACTAATACTGGGCCAGAAAAGCTCAACTCATTCGAAAGTTAGATACATGGAACTTCTACAAGAACACGACTGCAGACAAATGGGAAGAAACTATAGCACTAGTGTAGAAGCGACAACGGGACGGCAAAAAGTCGGAGGTCTTCATCCATGGCAGACTAGTTTCATCTGCGAGGCTCAAGAAAGAGACCGGAAGACGCGCTTTACCGCAATATCACGACCCTCCAGGTAAGACTTCCCGTGAACATTTGTGTCCGCTGGCCGATGCTAATATTTGACAAGTTCCAACCTCCGGAAGCACGGATGAGAATAATGAACTAACAGTGTGCACCCCCCCCCACCATCAATACGCTGTATTGATGTTGACGAGGACGCGATTCCCTGGTTTTTCATTCAGAGCTGCTTCAGTAAGGACAGAAAATAGCTAAAAGCCGATCGTGCTAACAAAGATACAGCACATGCGACGCTTAGAAATCCGCAAAACCCTTTTCAAGCTTCAACTATATTGGCAAGACAAGAGGATATAATACAAATCGCTCAAATTGTTTTTACAAGCGGAAAGGCAATCCGTTGCAGATGCCGAAACCCTCGCTCGTGTTATGTCAATTGTCAAAGCCCAGTTACCAAACAAACGCAGAATCGACGACAACGCCGAGATCTCCGCGCTTGATTTCTGGAAGTACTTACTTCAGTGGGTATTCTACCGGTGCGTAAACGGGTTTCTGCCGTCCATCGAAGCCTACGATTTATTGAAAATCATACCCCCGAGCGTTGGCGGGCGAGCTGTATTAGAGAGAATCTGCCGCGAAAGAAACCCTGTCACGCGGGTCTTGTTATTGAAACTCTTGTTTGGTACGATAAACAACAAATCACAATCACTCGCTCGTTTTATGCTTCAGAACGGGGCCGACTCTAAAGACTGTCATGGCTTGGCCAGCACGCGGTGGACTCACGACCGCGAAATGACTGCGCTTCATCGAGCAGCTCAATTGCATGATACAGAGGCCGTTAGGCTACTTCTGGAATACGGTGCTGACCCTAACGACACTATAGTATCATCGATCGATGAAACTGCTCTACTTTTAGCACTCGAAAGGCCTGGCGGAACTGATATTATTGCATTGTTGATAGAGAACAAAACGAATCTCCGGGCTTCTCTTCATCAGGACTTGCACAGCGCTAGTAGTCAGCCCTTTAATCAATACCTAATTGAGGCCGTGACTAACAAAGACTCTAAGTCGGTGGAGCTGTTGGTTGATAAGGGGGCGGACATCAATGTCCTTCCAGCACTTTGTCAACCATCAGCTCTGCAAACGGCGATTGAGGCTGATGACATAGAAAAGGTCGATATGTTACTCGCTTTGGGGGCTGATCCTATTGGTCGATTACCGTCCAACTTTTCTACAACCGATTCCGAATTAACGCTTCCGCTCACAGCTGCTGCGCGATATCATGGCACGATAGCAACTCAAAAGCTGATTCGCGCGGGCGCAAATATCGACGATTTCATACCCTCATGCTCAAATGCTGTGTATTCATATCGATGGTCTAAAACCAATCAGACGGCACTTCAAGCATCTATTGAAAGCTGCAATTACGACATTACTCGGCTCTTGTCAAGACACGGCACTGATCCTAACATCCGAGACTGCACTACTTCAACGGCATTGCAACAGGCGGCGCGGGCATTCTGCCACCACCAAGGACAATGGGAAATCATTATCCTGTTACTACTCTCGGGTGCAGATGTTAACACCTCTCCGACTGTTGGGTGTGAGAGCGAAAATGTCTTGCAGGCTGCCGCACGAACCGGCGATCTCAACCTGATGAAATTACTCATGTATTTCGGCGGTAATCCTTTCATAAAGACATTCGACCTGGAGTCCTTGACATTGAAGTCCTTTACGTGCTTTCCAGCAGCCATTATGTCAGAAAACATGCACTTGGTGTTATTCTTGTATGATCTGGGCGCCGATATTAATGAGCCTGCCGAAGCTGTGAGGCAAACAGCTTTACAAGCAGCAAGACCACGTTTAGTTTGGGCATAACAGTCTGCTGTCGTTGCACAGCAATGACCCCAGGTTGATGATGGGCTGATCACGTCAAGAACTTAACAGACGTCGATCAGAGTCTCTTAATGTCGGCAAGATAAGCAACATTAAACAAACAGGGAAAACCATCATCAGCAAAGAATTGACATGCCCATGACAAGGACATCATAATTCCAGAACCACCTATCCACCAATTGGCCTGTCTTTCCTAATTTCTATCAAGTTAAAGTGAATATTGCCATGTATCAGTTTGATTCAAATAGGCCATCCCTAAATTATCTCAACTTGACTGCGTTATCCCAGCCCCTCCATAAGCCTATCCCATTTCCGTCACCGCTACCCTGCGAGAACTGCAGGGTCACCATCCAGCCAGATGATACTCGCCTTCCAAGTCTTCATTTTCCATAAATGTCCAATCTTCACCATGTCGCAAGTATAGAAAGCACCCGACGTGAACTTGGCGGAGCTTGGGTCTGCACCCTGTCTAGGACGGACATGCTGAGCCAATGCCGAGCATGTTGCCGTAGCTGTGCTGCTACTCGCGATATTGACGCGCAAGTTGGAGAGAAAATGGGTTGTATCGAGCTTGGAGACACGATCGAAGACTGCTGCCTTGAATTCTGCGACACCATGGGCGGTTGAGCCAGGCATCTCTGCGTCAATGTCCTCGGTAATGGCCGACAGAAGGAGGGCCTCGTCGCTATAGTCGAAAGCGAGAACGGCGCGGTAGAGTGCGTCACCTATAGCCTCACGCTCAGTGAGGCCACCCGCGAGCTGAGCTGGGAGTGTCAAGGCCATGATGACAACGTAAGGGAACTTGCAAAAGGTAAACAAGCCTAAGAGAGAGACGAGACGGTGGTTGTCTATATGGTTATATGTCGGGGCTTTTATGTGTTATCAGCCCCTTTTTATTTCTTAGTAGAATAACTGCTATAGAATTAATACCGTAGAGATTAAAAAGAGTCGTTTGATACACATCAAGTTTGTTGGGTGTGTCAATCTGCACCTGGTCCTGCAATAAGTCCGTTAACTCCTATGTCCGTTGAAGATGCAGCATACATCAGGCAAGAGCCATAGCAGCAGTCAATTCAAGAGCAATGCAGTTTGTGTAATGTCCGATCCGATAAAACTGATCGATAATAAATGCCTGGAGGACTAGCCTGAGGATATCTCATGCCGCTAGTAAAGTCATCGTGGAATCTGCGGCTTAGTAGCTTGAAACCCAGCTGACTGTAATTGTAGCCCGTGCACTTTTCACTCATCTTTCACCTCAGCCATTTCATCTTGGTCAGTGTAAGATCTGGTAAAACCTCATTCTTAGACTTACTTCCATGTATCAGCTGGTTGTTATACTTCCACACAAAACAGCCAAGTTTGCTTGATTTAAGCAGCTAAATTGGGTAAATGATATGAGAATTAATCTTTCTAGAACCAGTAAACCTAAGAACTTGGAAAAATGCCAGTTTCAGCCCTATCTTTGTGCATATTCATCTTGGTTTACATTATGAACAGAAACCCTTCCGAAAAACAAGTGGTCACTGAAAAGCGGAGAATTGAAAAGCAAGGAGACCCGAACACTGTATTGAGATTCTGCTGCTTCTTCTCCTTCTTTGGCGGCTTACCCATATTTGTTGTTAGAGGCTACTGAGATTGCGGCTCTACCGGGGATATATGGGAGTTTAGAGAATGCCACCAGCAAGACGAGGAGGAAGCAAAATAAATAGTTAAGCGCAACACTGATGTCAACGGTAAGGCTATGATTCCAGTTCACATAGATGAAGCCTTAAGGAGACGGTACTTGACAAGCTTGCTATGAATTAGCTGACTAGACAATTTACTCAAAATGTAACCGGTATCAGCCTCTGGAAAGCTGGTCATTTATTGCATAAGCTTCTCAAGGCAATATGTGTCAGGTACCGAGAACTACTCGACAAACAACATTCACGATTACAAAATCAGCGGCACATCAGGCTCTTCCTGTGCCTGGAAACCATTTCGGTATCTATGGCGCACATTCGGATATATAATATCACATTATCATCCGCTGGACTGTTTTCTTATCATCCTTGACTTTATGTTGATGATCTTCTTAGGCAGTCGCTTCTTTAACCTCTTTATCACAATTACTAGCTTTAGCTTTAGCACATCCAGCTTCAACCTATTCCTGTTTGACTCGTCCCCACTTCATTTATCACTAACTACCTCTTCTTTAGCTATCGTACCCCTCACATCATAGATCGATATCGCACTTACACCCTTTGTCAACACCCAGACCGGCATTCCGGAGCCACGGAAACCCGTACCTCCGAGCTCATGCTTACGCATCCAGTCATGGATGAGTATCTACCTTTAAGGAGAATATTCGCGAGGCTATGGCGGAGCTTGAAAAAGCCAGTGGAGGATCAGTCATATCTTCAGAGGTAGTTTAGTCAGGTATTATTCATGAAAGGGTGTAGGAGGACGCGGCTAAGCGAGCAATATGGCGGAATTATGCTTATGCGGTCTTCACCAAAGTCAGAATTTGTAGATCAGATTCGACAAGAATGCATATACTTTGCATCTTGGCCTGTTTATCCAAGATAGAATCCATCACGATATCGAACTGGAGCAAAGGAGGTATCTTGAGAAAGTTGGTCATTGCCTAAGCTGCTGACTCGTGTTCTTATACAGGGTGGTCTCTTTCTATTATGCGTTGACCCTATTTCATAGCCGTTCGGACTCTGGCTGCACTTTCAAGTAAAATCTCTATTCTTAGCCATACGCATGAGCTGCAACGCCGGAACAGTCGCAGGTTGAGGTGCTCAGGGAGATCATGGATTGGAAGCAACAAGCATAAAGTACTGGACCTCGGAGAAGCAAATGGCCAAAGCGAGGGCTATTGTGGCCGCCCTACCAGCCGTCAAGGAACCATCCATGAGATAATGCCTTAAGTCAGTGGCCCCAAAAGTGAGGGCAACTGGAGAACAGAGTTTATAATTTAAAACAAAATTCACTATGAGATGTGGCACTGGGGTCAGCAGACATTCTGTTCTGCTCGACCTTGTTCTGATAGTTGATGAAGATAGGTAATGAAAATAGTTGATTAGAATAGCCCTGATGACAGCAGCTGACGAGAACAGGTGATCACACTAATGCAAAAGAATTAGATCCTTACGTTACCGATGGAGAGCACAGAAAAAATTGCGAATTGTATTTCTATGCTTATCCGTCCCTTCGACTAATCCTTAGTGGTCCAGTACCCAACATCGAAAATTGGTAATTTCTCTCAGCCGCCACCTCAGTAATCCGCTAGGTACTGCTTACGGTGCCTAATTAAGCTTGCGCCATAAGGAGTATGTAGAATATACCATGTCAACACTTGGACCTTCATCGGCATGAGCCTGTTGGCCGTGGTTGCGATGTCCCAGTAGTTAACCCTTTGTCTGCCGCCAATTTGACATCTACCTGCCTTGTCATAAGATGCTCGACATCGGCACTGAAGGCCACGAGTATAAGAGCAATGGCGGCAAAAGAGATGCTAGTGAGGAATGTAATACGCAAGGCAGATGCAAAAGCAGACTTGATACCCTTCACTGCAATATCGAGAATCTCTGGAGATATACCTTGAAGTGCAGGGTTCTTGGGATTGCCAGTCAGAAGGGCCTGCAGAATCCCGGGAATCGCTTTCGGGTTTACACCTCCCATGGCAAGAGGCTTAGCTGCCATGGAGGGGAGGTTGGAGCTGAAGCGTGAGGAGAGGACCGATGAGTAGACTACAAGTCCTATGGCCCCTCCCATAGAACGACAAGTGATTGCGACTCCAGTTGCAGTGCCGATATAATTATGTGGTACATCCAGCTGGATCATAGTGACTGCTGCAACCGTGACAGACGTCACACAGAAGCCAATCAATGTCACGAGTACTGTGGACGCAACATAAGAACCTGGGGTAACAATAGCCTGGGCCCCCAAGCAAGTCGTGAGCAGCATAAGGTTTCCAGTAAGTACCCAACGTGCGTGTCCAAACTGGGTTATAAAGTACCCTGCAATAGGACCAGCGAGACATCCAGCGGCACCAAATGCAGATGTATACCATCCGACTGCCATGGTGTCGCGAGTGTAGAGTATGGCAACCTGTTGAGGCCAAAGCGTGGATGTAGAGTAGTAAGCCATACCAAAGAAACCAGCGGCTTGAATAAGGACAGCACTGCCTCGAATAGAGGTAAAGAACTCCTTGGGGAAAAAGCTTTCCTTGATTTTGGTATATCTCTCCCAGACAAGCAAGGCCACTAATAAAAGACCCCCCACGATCATCAATGTGATGACTGTAGCGGATTTCCAAGGAAACTCTTTGCCTCCAGTCAATAAGCCGACACCAAGTATGGCAATGCCGGCGATGAAAAGGAAGTTCCCGAACCAATCGAGACCAAGGAACAGCTGTAACCCAGTCTTGCCTTCGACTCGGTCATACTGATGAACCGGAGTATAGAAAAGGATTGTGAGGGCGCAGGCCGCCAGATCGAGGGAGAAGGTCAACCAGAAGGTACCACGCCACGATCCATCTTTGAAGATGCTAAAAGCAATCACAGGCCCGAACACAGAAGCAGGGAATGCCGAGGCCTGAAACAAGCCCATAGCTAAGAACCTCGACCTCTTGGGCACCATCTCGGCGACGCACGTCAGTGCCAACTCCTGTATCGCATTGCCCACGCCGATGAAGGCACTGCCGATAATAAGAGTCCTGACCTGTTGCGCAGTCGCAGCCACCACGCATCCAATGGCACCAATGATGTTGCCCACTATAAGGAAATTGCGGCGGCCATAGACATCACTTAGACGTCCGAAGGAGGGACAAAGAACGGCAGTGCAGAAGAGCTGAGCGTATGCCATCCAAGTGTAGCTTGTGCTAGGGCCAATGTCCGCGTTGATTTCCGACACGATCGTGGAGGTCATGGATGTTGAAAAGAGGGTCGACATGTAGCCGAGTTGGAACGATGCCATGGCTAGCCATAGCTGCCAGGTCATCTTAAAGGCGCCGCCATCTTCGGGCTCATGGTCAGAGAGACCACGAGACATGGCTTTTTCAACTTGCTCAATGGTCGTGTCATTGTTTAGTGGCTCGGGGATGTCTCTCTTCATTCTTCTTTATTGCTCTTGAAAGATGCTTATTAAAGGGAAAATTGTATAAAATCTAAAATAGGAGGTTTGTTATAGGTGTGAAGTATCCTAATCGTCAGGGAATTCTGGCTTCTTTATACACGAACTTTCCCCGCTCTCAAGACATTCCATTAACAGTACTCCTGTCTTAATAACACACATCCCTTTCAAGATGAAAAGTAATGGCCAGTGCGGTCTGAATTTGGAGAAGAGGGGTTACTGGCAGCCGACTACAATATTCATCACGCCTAGCCCAGGGCTACTGCGGGCTTCACACCATCTTCCATAATGATTATACTACTAAAGGTTAGACTTTGGACCAGACATACAAAGGTATAAGGATGTGCTCCAGGTTTCTCACCTCCCTTTCGGTTTAATTTACGACGGTATCCTTCCGAGCTGACAGTAACGGGTTTGGTGGCATATTGCTGTATGAGATAATTCTCACAATTCCTCCCACACTCCGCGGACCTTCCATCCACCGCAAGTAACCGAGGATTTTAAGTCCATAGTGCGTAGATTAAGCCAGACTTGCCAGACATAGGAAAACTGCTATAGTTAAATCTATTGAAGTAAATATTATAGTAAATATTATTACAGCTACTTATATAGATAGTAAAAAACTGTTGTAAGTCTTAGGCATAAAATGGAATATAAGATATATAAAAACACCTAAGTATAATCTTTTATTGCCACTCTTTTTCTAAGAACATTACAGTATGTATTTTAGCCGAGGGTAAAACAAGGCTGGATTAGAGTTATTAGACCTCGGGACAATTAGAATCCAGCAGACTGGGGAACGCTGCCATTACCCACTTTCCCCAGATATGCCATCTGCAGCTAAGACTTATAGCTAAAGTTTATTATTTGTCTGTTGCATCTCAAACGTCTTCCCCAGCCGGAAGCTCCGGAGTCACGGTGCTTTAACCATGGGATAAACGTGGGGTATTCAGTAAAGCTCAATAATCTACTTACTTATCGAAGTGATATTGCCATTATCTCTTACTGGACTTCAGTACTAAATGTCGAGTCATAGTATATCATAATTGCGACTACCTTGAAGGACATAATACAAAGCTCTTTGGTATAGGAATAGCAATATCGTTGGCTTTAGTGGCCTATTACACCGGCTGGGGTTTGGACTTAAGGCCTTTGTAATACCGACATTCAGGTCGAGGTATTAGTACGAGCTAATCGACTGAGCTGCAAAGAACCCTAAGAACTTGACAACACCTTAGGGGCAACTATGGCGATAACCCGACCGGTCTGGATCATGCTAGAATGAGTTGTTCGGCCGCCAGTGCTGTCGACTCGCTCGGCTTAACGGAAGCTTCAGGAGCACAGAAAAGGTAGTTCCGAATTCCGAATTCCGGAGCTACAGAGCCTCAATCTCTCTCCGATATCATTCTAGGTAAGAGGCTTTATATGAAGTGAGCCGTAAGATACACGCAATAACGGTGATAGAGTCGAGTCCATTCAATGAACTTCCGTAGCAAGGAATGCTGTGTTCATTCCCTGCCCGGCCTTTGCCGCTGCCACACTAGGGTTGGTGGGCTTTGACTCGGACCATTATACCGCGGTAGAATCAGAATTGGGGCTATTCGAGACCCTTGACCAAGATGCTCTTCCTAGCTCGGGATTCCCTCCGGTGAATGTAGCAGAAATCCCATATCTCTTGCGAGCATAAAGCAAGCAAAGGCCAAATACTTGAGAAATGGCACATGATGGCGCCCATAATATCAGGGAACAGTTTGCAATCACGTTCATCCGAACTTTACTGTCCATAAGTACACCCGAAACCTATTGCATATAATCTAGATTCCGTTATTGCTATGTCTTGGTGTCAAGCCAGAAAGACATGGAGCCCATTTTGAGCAATTTACATAAGATCAACCATTTCTATAGATTTAGCTGGTCGTGAAGATCTAGCCGAAGTGGAATATATCACAACGGAACGTCCTCACATTATCCAGCAAGTTTGGTTGCATTTTAAGATGGATCTAAGATTGAGTTGCTGCTTCTGTCAGTGCTAGATGTATCCCTGAATGTTCGTTATGACCGGATCATCATGGCTGACATTAGCAAGAACTTCCAGGGGCAGGTTAAGCCTTATCTGATTGAAAGGGGCCTCGTAAAAAATTCGGCTTTGATATCGTTTGCTGTCTGTTCTTCATGTGTCTGGGAGATACCTGCGGGCTCTCCTCCGCCGAGGATTCCTTCCTTGGTGGCATTGACATTGCGTCCAACCCCCTTCAGCGGTGTGTTGAAATATTGTCGAGCCAAACTTGCGGCCAATACTTGGTTCATTTTTCCACCGAGGCGCCAGTAATAAGAACAAAGAGGGGTAAAGCATCGCCACGACTGGAACTGTTCCTATCCAAGTCGAAGCGAAGTTAGGGAGCTACTTACCTCGCAGCACCGTATCTCCATGGCTGGTATCGTATTGATAATAATCCTAGATCTAAGTTCCTACATTGCAGGCCTGATATCAAGGTTTGTGAGTTCTTCTAGATGCTCGTTTCGTGAGCGCAGAACCTCTCGATATGTATAACTGGGCAGTTGATAATGAGCAAACTGCCATTATAGGACAGCAGCACCTTGCTCTGTCACGAAGAATCACTTGCACCGCTTTAATTCCATGCTAACCCCCCTCAGTCTTTCTACAAGGATTCCCATCTTAAACACCTCCATGCAATAAGTCACCGGCAATGAAGAGAAATATCTTCTAGCATGGCATAATGGTCAGAGCGAGGACCGAAATGGTCATAGAAATAAGTCGTTTATACAACGGCAGTGGCCCCCCTGACGGTGCAATTGCTTTATTGCCTCTTGGTCAAGCGGAATATTCGTAATAGCTGGAAATGGGACAAGTCGACTTCAGATCGACAGTCTAAGCTGACCACACTGTATCTACCATTCAAGAGGTCAGGCTGGTATGTTCGCCAATATATCTGCTCTGTTTCTTATGCCTTCAATGGCTATGTAACCCCTGTTTATTGCTGCATTCCCGTCGCACAACAATTAATTACTTATGCTATAGCTTCCATTATCTCAGTAAAGATAATCTTCAGTGTAGTCTACTACTTTTTTTCTTCTTTTCTTTTCTTTTTTCTTTTCTTTTTTCTTTTCTTTTTTCCCTTGCTGTTAGCCTTATGAGGCTATCGAGCTTCTAACTTTATATACGAAGGCTTAAACAATGAGGCCCCTATAGTAGGCCCGTATCTCAAAGGTCAAAATCATATGTAGTCTCCTACATCATGAAATATTCTGGCATACCACATTAAATTAATAAATTAGGACTGGCGCTTAATGCTAGTAATGGCAGTAGTGGTTATATTCTTATTCTGCTTCTTTCTTTTCCCGGAGAGTTGTTTTATGTGTGGCGACGAAGAACTCCAAGTATGGACAGGTAAGGCCCCCATTTACATAGGGATTACCTTTCTAGGTTATGTAGCTAGTAGTGGTAGGCGTCTCCTACCGATTGCTTTCTCCTATCGGAACCAGTGTGTCAGGCGGTTTGTTACATGCAAGCGTAGAGACTTTGACCTGGCTACGAGGTGTTCAAGACTACAGCAGTGGCATTAGAGTGATTAACGGCATTCTCCAAGATACTGAAAAGGATCAGAGGTGGGCTATTTCTATTTATCCCATTTAAGCTCTGAGAGTGCCTTGAGACCGTCGGATATGCTCACGTATCATAGTAACAGAGTTCTCAGCCATCTCCGGCTTGCAGCAGGAAAACAGATAGGACAGACGATTTGGAAGGCAAGGCTATCGAAAGAGTCGTATTGGGTGGCATTGTCTATGATGTTCACCTCCGAGTTGCTTAAACCGGTTTATGGTTTCGGCGTGATAACGGGTGCATGGAGCCTGATAAATGAGAACATCTCGAGCCTGGTGTTGGTATGGATAGCACAAAACCTGTTCTGTCTAAGGTAGTATGAAGTGACGAAATCGTCTCCATTCTTAGACTGGTAGCAATAACCTTTTTTTCATGAATTTATCTGTCTTGCAAGTGAAAATCGGGTTGTCTTATCTGGATCTCTATCTGCAAGACCCATATCAAGCTATCGGACTTACAACTATTTATTCTTCCTTTTCGTTTGCTTCTCTCTGTATATATTAATTATTCGGGTAATCCCCGAGCTTGTGATGTTACTTTGCTACTATCTTTAGCCACCAACCTTCTCAGCGTCCACTGAATGGATCTTTGATGATATTTGAGTGACGTGGAGGTATAGTTGAAGTTGGAACAATCTCATTATATGCTTAATAACAGCTATATGAAGCCTCTTACTCTGAGTATCAGTTTGTCCATGATTGTTCCAATTATCAACCTGGAAATACGTTAGGAGAAGTTAGTATTCATCCTTAGACCTCCTTTCTCTATCTCCACCAATTGCTAAGTTGGATTCCAACTAATTTTGTTCTTTCTCAGCTGATCCCAACTGTTCTGGACTCCGAGCTCCGGATTTTCTCTGATCATGAATTAGCCACCAAGGAAATCAGGGTCCTCGATTCCAACATTCCGCATAAAAAGCCTTGAATCTAGTGAACTTACTTATGCATATTGAAAGAACAGATTGCTGCCACCGGGCTAATTTGTCTGCTAATTAAAATACCAACATATAGGTAGATCCTTGTCTGGTTGCAATTGGACTTAATTCCCCTGTCTCTCGACCTTTACCAAGGACTGGTACCCCTGATGCTTCTATCTGTATCATACCGTATCAGTGTCTCAGCTGGCAAAGAAGTCTCTAATATTAGAGTCGGAACACCCTTAAACGAATATTACTGGTCCTTCATCCATAATGTCAATTCGCGACAGAATTCAAAGATGTCCTCCTCAGGACTCCACGAAAGTCGCTACGCTTGCTATCAAGATACAGTGCATGGCAGCAACGCAGAAGGTAAGTAAT